TTCTTTTTTTTTTTTTTGACGCTGGGGAAACCGTCATGGTACCACTCACCTCCGGGTAGAGGTGAGGGTTATGTGAAACTCCTTGTTCCCCTTGATCGAGCCACGAATGGTTCGACCAGGGGGCCCAAGACCTACCTCACTAAAACCCCAGCGGGTGTCCTGCCCGGGCGTTGGATAGGGGACGGCGAGGATGCTGGTATCCCATGCCGACCCGCCGAATATAATAATGCCTGCGCGAAAAAAATACTCTTGCAAATTTCCGAAATGTAGCAATAGCTATTATTGGTCGAAAGATAATACAATCATAAATAAGCGCTTCTATCGATTTCCAAAGAATCCGGACAGTTCTATAAAATGGAAAATGATTTGTGGCATCAATAAGCAGTATTAATTGTCGAAACATGTACATTTGCGAAAATCATTTTTATGAAGAAGATTTTGTTAACTTTACAAAAACCTGTTGAAGCCAAATATCATACCTAAACATATTGAAATTTCAGATAATTCAATTACAACAGAAACTTCTGCTGCTGTTGAAAATGATCCAATAGGTAATAATTGCCAGTCAGTAATAAATAAAACATTTTCTGCCGTTTGTAATGATTCAAATAATGAAGTTAATATTAATATGTGTGATACTTCCATGAATAGTGACATTGTTTCTAATGAAATTTCTGCTGCTTTTGAGAAGGATCCAATACCTAATAATCATTGCCAGTCAATAATAAATAAAACATTTCCTACTATTTGTAATAATTCAAATAATGAAGTTAATATAGGTGATATTTCTGGGAATGATGACATTGTTTTTGATGAAACTTGTGCTGATGACACTAGCACGTTTCAAAATGTTCAAGTTCATAATAATAACGACAATCAACATGAAAATTTAAACTTAAATGCAACTAATGCAGTCAATAACAAAAACAAGTCTATTTGTATATGTGACAATGAAGAATGTACACACACAGAGAAAACAGACATTAATTCTTCAAATGAGTTACAATTATGTCATGTTTCAACACCTCCTACAAATAAAAAGAAAAACTGGATTTTTAACGCAGGCGGGAGTTACTTTGAAGACAATGTCACCACGAAAATGTATCATGTATTCAATCCATCGAAAAATTACAGCACAACTGTGCAAAGTTAAAAAGAAATTGCATAATGAAAGAAATTCTTTAAAACAATTAAAAACTATGTCAGATAATACTTTTCACTGCATTGAAACAAAACTAAATGAAGTTACTAAACATTTTATTCAGTCGCAATTACGTAATGTAGATCGTCCTGTTTTTGGAAGACGATGGACAGAAGAAGATAAAGCTTTTGCTTTATCAATTTATAAGAGAAGTCCTCGTGTTTACAAATACCTGTCGACATATTTTCAGTTGCCATCCTCGCGCACTTTAAAGTATATTGTTATAGCCCGAAAGGCAATTACAAGTTAACGGATATAAAATCCGCGTGGAGACCGCTGATGCAGCCGGAAACCGCGAAGACGCAAGCTAAGAGCTTCATCTTTCGAACAGCTCTTAGCTCAAAATCTAGCCGCGTATGCAAAAGCTATGCACCAATCGGGTGCCTGTCGCCAGGCACCCCTTCCAAATGAAATAACGAAAAACCGAGTTCACGTAAGAACTTGGGAGTGAACAGAGAGCGAGTTGAATTAGACCAACCTACCGAGACACATCGAGGATAACTCCCGACTCGTAATCAGACGAGTCGTTAATTAGCTAAAGTCAGAATAAATCTAGAGTCGCGTCAAACGAACGAAAAAGAGAAACGAAGTTACCAGAGGTTTTTTAAATAACCATACGCCGAGTCTTGTTAAGATTATATATACCAATATACATATATATACATATATATATATATTGAATAAAGAAGTAATTCTACATTAAACAAGACTAAAATCTACGGAGAAACCCCGACGATTCAGAAGTCCACTTCCTAATCCGGCAACATCCCTTCTGTGTCTCACGCGAGGCACAACAATATGTTATCAAAAATTCCTTTTGATACTGGTATAAATAAACTTCTTTTGGAACAGCTAAAAATAAAAGCAAATGAAATGCACGAATTGGATCGCTATTGCGCATTAGTTTTTGATGAAATTTCATTAAGCTCGGGTTTTCATTATGAAGCACATAAACAACAAATTTCTGGTTTTGAAGACTTGGGTGAGTTAGGTCGAACTTCTAGAGCAGCAAATCATGCTCTTATTTTAATGATTCGTGGTCTGCGAAAATCGTGGAAACAAGTAATAGCGTATTATTTTACAAGTGGTACAATCTCGAGCAACAACCTAAAATATATCATAACAAATGTTATTATGCAATTACAAGGGATTGGACTAAAAGTTAAAGCAACTGTTTGCGATCAAGGTTTAACTCAAAGAAAAGCTTTATCTGCATTGTGCACAGAAAATAAAACAGATCCAACTTGTTACACGTTTACCGTTAATTCTGAAACTATAGTAACTATTTACGACGTGCCTCATTTATTAAAATGCACTCGAAACGCCTTACTCCGTTGTAAAATTAAATTTGCAGACAATAAAATAGCTAAATTTAAATACATTAAAAATGCTTTTGATGTTGAACAAGATTTTCCTTTTAAACTCCTTTACAAATTAAAGAAACAGGTTTTTAATTTTCAAGACTTTTGTTAAGATGAGGGTAAAAACTGCAGCACGTCAATAAGTCATACTGTTGCTGCAGCTATTCATTCTTTTAGCGTCTCTAATGTTAACGGATTGTTTCCAGTTGAATCAATACAAACGGCAGAATTTGCAGAACTTATAGATAATCTTTTCGACTCCTTAAATGGTTCTACAATTAATCCAGATGACGGCAAGCAGTACAGATGTTGTTTGCAAGACGATTCACCTCACTTTCAGTTATACAGTAAATTACTCTCAGAAATAACTAACTGGAAATTATTTGATTTGAATATTGAAAAAGATGTCACAAATCAATATCATTTTATAAAAGGTTGGACGATAACAATCCGCTCGGTGATGTATTTGTGGCATCAATTAAAAACTCTCGGTTTTAAATATTTAAATATGAGGAATCTAAATCAAGATGCGGTAGAAAATCTGTTTTGCCAAATTCGTCAACATGGAATTGCAAATTCTAATCCCACCTGTCATCAATTTGTAGCAGCCTTAAAATCTGTAATATTAAATAATCTTGTTGCACCGGTCTCCAAATCTGCCAATTGTGAAAACGATAACTGTGAAAATTTGAACAATTTTCGAAAGTTTTTAGATAATTGTAATGACTTTAACGAAAACGAAACTGAATTATTAGAGAATAACGACTATAACACTCTTCAATGGACTGATTTAGAAGAATTGAACACGGATGCGTCTCAAGCTCTTTCTTACGTGACGGGTTATCTTGTAAAAAAACTAAAACTTCCCGATGCAAATTGTTCAAAATGTCAAACTGATTTGTTTTGTACACAACAAGAACAGCATCATGTATATACAGTTTTTAAGGAATATTCCGAAAAAGATTCATTAACGTATCCAAGCGATAAAATGATTACATTAATACAAAATGTACACAATAGATTACTTCACTTTTGTGATGAAAACGGATATAAATCAAACTTAGAATTGACTTTTAAACATATTTTTTAACTACAACAGCAAATTTTGTAGTACTCATCGGTGTGGCAATATAATTGTAAAAATAGTTTGCAATTTTTAATACATAAGTATGTTAAAGACAAGAATAAGATGAAATCGGTGCAATTAACTTCGGGCCATTACAAAAAAACTAAGCAATTTAAATCGTTATGATGTATGTTTCATTCTTTGTTTAGTATTTTATTTACTTGCATTTTTAGTTTCTTTTTAATATGCTTGGTTTACAAAGACTTAGTTCAATATCAGTTTTCTTTTTCAAAGTTTTATTATATGTGTTATTATTTATAATACTATTTTATTATCACAAGTAATTCTATCTCTTAATTAATAAGTGTTTTATTTTATTATCATAATTTTAATTTTACGTATTAAAATGTATCAGTATTGTTTTACGTTTGGAGATGAAACGAATAATTGTTTTGTTTAATTTTAGTTTATTTTTAATTTTTGATGATTGTATTTATAATTTTTAATATTTACAATATCAAATATTTTTGTAAATTTTCGTTTATCTCAGTTTGTTTTATTTTTTATAAAACGATGTATAAAATATCTTTATGAAAAAATGTAAAAAAGGTGTATTACTGCTTTTTCAGCGTTCTTGTTCAAAATCAATAATTATGCTAATTTACTTCTGTTTTTTGAAATTAAAATGTTTTAATTAAAAGTATATTTTCTGCAACATTAATAAATTTGTTCTTTTTGTATATTTTCCCTATTCATTTATTGTAGAAAATAACACTATATATATGCGTGTGAAAAGCTGTATTTCGTAAACTACATATGCGCGCATTCATCTATAATACATGTTACGTATCATATAATTCATGTATGATACACGTAAGGGGCTATCGTTTATGCGATTATGCAAGTTTGTTTGGATAGGCCCTAACATGTATTTAGATTACGCGCGCATATGTAGTTTACGGAACGGAGCCATAATAGAAAATCTGTAGTACCAGTGCCAGGCCACTAGAATCGCGTCGTTCGCATGTTTCCATCGTTTAACACGGAGCTTCCGCTTTTCTTTATATATGTTCTTTGGGCTACATGAAGTTAATTCATATTTAAACCAATCTCGTTCACTTCCATCTGTACATATTTTAAAGGGTATACAATAAGGTCAAAAATTCGAGCCCAAAAGTATCGCCAAATAAAAAAATTTAAACAAAATTTACATGAAGATAAATTTACAGAAGAGGAAGAAAAATATGATACATATAATGAAGCAAATTATAATGGTGCAGCATCAGAAGGTATTAATCATGTAAATGTCGAAACAAATGTATATATATATATAGCAGTGAGAAAGTATTTTATTATTTCGAATATAGATCATATGGAAAATACAAACGTAGGAGCAGTAGAAGATTTGAATGATTCTAATACAAGTAATTCGGAAACTCACACTGTACATGAAGAAATTGATAATAATAATAGCGATCAATCATTATCATCATTATCAATTTCTGATCAGAGTGACGAGTATAATAATGATAATACAAGTGATGAAGAAATCGATGAAATATGCAAACTACGATCGTGGGCTATTGAATGCAGGATTCCATTCGTACATTGCAACCGTCTCTCCGTCCTCTCTCGTCAAACTAAGAGAGAGAGTGCGAGAGAGACTGCTGCGCAACCTCGTCGTGCCGCTCTCCGTTCTCTCGATACTTGCTCGGTATCACTGATTGCTCGGTATCGTATCCTTTTGGGCGCCAGGTGCGGTCAGGCCGCACCACTCAACAATGTCTCAACTAATAATCAGCGGCCATGACGGCTCGGCCTCGGTAGCTCGGTATCAACAGGGGTAGAGTGTCGTGGTTCTTTCCGTAAGGAGATTTGGAATCGCAGTCCCGGAGAGAGAGAGGAAGTCTCGATATTAATTGTACTCAGAAATAGGATAAAATAAGAATATATTTTCAATTAATAGTATATAAGTGGTGTGAATCAAAATAGCTATAATTTTATTATCGAGCCGTTGGGAGATCGCTGGGTGTTATCGAAATCTCTAATTATCGTTACTCTCCTCCCTTTGTATCCGGCTCGGAATCGAAGGGATCATATACCAATCCAGCGTAACTTATTCTCAAATTTCGTTAATTAATGACTCGATACAATGCTACAAATATAATATACTACGATATGACTCTCGACTCGTTTCGGTGCCCCTCGGAGAGGCGAAGAAGGCAAAGATTTACGCAATAACTTAATGACGCGGAAATCGACGTGAGTCCCGTGAGTCTCTCAACTAATTCTCGGTACTAAATTATCTACAGCATAATTGCTCGGTATCGTTATATTTCCCTAATGACTCACGGGTCTCTGCCGAATCCGCGCTTACCGGACGATCGAGGAGGTGGCCTTACAGTATTTCGCCGTCGCAGTTGGCTGTAGTGGGTCGTTGTCCCTGGGTGTGCTCGCAGGACACCGGCTTGCCGAACAGTGATTTCCTTTCGGGCCGGCGGGACCTCGGAAGGTACGCTGGTGGGGAGGGGAAAGACAATGCGCGCCACCCCGGCCCGGTTGCCAGGTTTCGCGGCAGCGTTGCGCCCCGCGCCGGACCCGGAATCGACCCTCGTATCGACTCCGGTGTCTCGCGGCTGGTCGCGGACTCCCGCCGCCAAATTCAAATCCCAGCCCTCGGGAGCGACGATGCAGCAGGTCCATTTTCGGCGGTCCCGTCCACACCTCGTATGGCCGTATGCTGATGTTCCAAACGACCTTTCTTGGCTGAGGGAAGTCGTCCCGGGGTGATCAATCCCGTTAGATCTCCGCGTTTCTCTCGAGGCGTGGTGGCGGGCCCCTCAGGGGCATCATCCTTGTCGGGGGATGTAGGCGCCTTTTACTCCCTGCTCTGGACTGCTCCTGTTCGTCCCATCGAGGCTGTAACGAGTTTCTCTGCAGTATCGCTTCCTTATTTTCTCGGTACCGCGTATATGTTATTGTTCGTAATACTCACCGGGCCGGTCGCTCAGTCTCCGCTCCTCCCCTTTCGAGGTCGTTCCTCCGTCGTCTGTCCAGGTCCTCTTTTCCCTAAAACAATGGCCGTTCGCCTGGCCTACCACCTCGATCCCGATATAGAGTGCGGGCGAGCTAGCGAAAAGGTCGCTGCTCACCCGCACGAGACACAAAATAATACAGCGCTCTCAGACGCTTCCCGGCCGGGCGCGTCCGCCCTTGTGACGGGCTCAAAAAGACCACGTCACAACTCCCCCCTTCCTGGGGAGGACCGAGAAGGTCTTGGACATCGACCCACATCGATGACCACCCACTCGATCACTGCCTCAACTCAAACTTTTCTCTCGCCATGACCTCCACCCACGAGGTCCCGAATTCTGCCGACAGTCATGATTAGGTTCCACCTTCCCGCGATATCTTAAGGGAGTCTCGCCTCCCGAGACCACAACTCCGAAGGTGTCGCTCCGGGATGGGACAGACAATAGGGTGTAATTAACGGGGTCTCACATGTCTTACTACGAAAGTCCGTTTATTGACCTCCTCAGGTACATTTCGTGTACGCCCTACGGGGTGTTCGTGGCCCCTCCTCGGTATCTGGTCTCCCATCTCCTCCTTTTCGGGCCGTACTGGCCAAGCAATAATAAAAGAACAAAAAAAAACATCGGGGAGGAAGTCGGGGGGTCACCGAGAACGAAGAGAAAAAGGTGAGGGGCTCCCTAGGGGCGAAATAATAAAAAAAAATAAATAATAATAACAAAAAAATTAATAGGGGTTGCCAGCCCCCACAAAAAAAAACAAAACCCGTCATTCGGAGGGGCTATGGGTACGGGGTGGTACGGGGTCCCCCGTGTCTTCCGCTACGTTCCGGCGGTGGTCCCCGGCGTGGCCCCCTCTCGTCTTGCGAGGGGTTGTCTCTCTCGTATGTGGGCCCGCAGCGTGGGCAGGTCCTCACGGTGGTTCCCCGTTGTCCGCACCCGTAACAAAAATCCGCCCTCCGCGGCTGGGGGCAGGCGGCGTAGCGGTGGCGCCCTCCGCAATTCCAGCAACCCAGGGGTAACTGGTCCCTTATGGGCTGCTCGGCTTGGGATCTGGTGCGGGATGGCGTGCGTGTGTTTGTACTTGGCGGCGTGGGTGTCCGACCGCGGTTCCTCGGTGGCGAGAGCGTTCCGGGGCGAGGCGGCGACGTCGCAGCATCGACGGTTTCCCGGGCCGTACGGGACCAACGCAACACAAAATAGGTCTGGGTCGCCCGGTTCGTCCTCGCCGGCACTACCCGCACGGTTTGTCCGACGTCCCTCATCGGGGGACGCACACGGACCTCTCCGTCGGCCGCTGACAATGCCGTCTGGCTCTCCGCCTCCCTCGTTGCTGGGAAATCGCGAACGACCGCGCCCCGCGTGGTGCTGACGAGGCGTCGGACTGTCTCCGCGGTGTCCGCCATATCCGCCCATATCTCCGGGTAGTGCTCGTCTACCTGGAGGACGAGATCGGCATATCTCCCCCAGAACCCTCTCCATTCCTCCTCTGCCGGATTCATCTCCGCTACTCGGGAGGGTTTTCCTGTGATTCTCTCGGTATCCTAGTCAGGATCGGGGGAATAGTAGGGTTTTAGATATTGTATGTGGCTTTTACCGGCGGTTGACCCATCTAGACGAGTCAGCTCGTAAATTACGGAGGACAATTTCCTCCCGATTCGGAAGGGACCTTCGAATTTGGGTGCCAACTTTGCCGCGAAGTTATCGGCGGCCGACGAAAGGACGTGCCGCCTTCGCAAGACTAGTGCACCCGTACGAAAATTGCGAGTTCGACGCCTCATATTATAGTACGTCGCCTGTTTTTCCTGGGCCTCCTCTAAACGTTCGCCAACCCATTCCCGAATCAACTTCAGCCGCTCCATTCTATCCGACCAAACCGCGGGATCGGCTGCGTCGACCTGAGCCATCTCGTTACCTCGGTCTCGCAGCCTCCCTCTCGGTATCAACTCTCGGCCCAGATTCAGGAATGCCGGCGAAGTTCCCAGGGAGGAATGCTCCGCGGTATTATATGCAAACCGGAAGTCCGCAATATTCCGGTCCCAATCCCTATGATCCCTATCTATGTAAGCGACTATCATTGTTTTTAAAACCCTATTCACCCTTTCTACGGGGTTCGCCTGAGGGTGGTATGGAGGGGTGGTATCGTGCCGTATCCCGTTTTCGCGGGCGAATTCCTCTATCTCCCTATTCACGAACTCGGTACCGTTGTCCGTCAGTAAACATTTAAGCGTGCCCCAACGCGAAATAACTAGGTCTACTAAAGATTCCCTAATTTTTGGACCTGTCGCGGATCGGAGAGTCTTACACTCTATCCACTTTGTGAATAAGTCCTGAATCACTAGTAGGTATTTGAAACCGGACTTACTACGCGGTAAGGGTCCCATAATATCGGCGGCAACCACCGTCCATGGAGCTTCCGCTATTCGCCTACCCATGAGTCCCGCAGGACAGGCCTGCTCGACTTTTGTCAGTTGACACGTGCCGCATTTCTTAACATAACCTACTACATCTCGGAACATTCGCGGCCAGTAGTATGAGACCGCTAAACGCTGATACGTCTTTTCGATACCTAAGTGTCCGGATTGAGGGGCGTCGTGGGCCTCGCGTAACGCCTCCCTTCGCGACTCACTCGGTAGCACTAATTTCCATCGGTTCAGGTCTTCTACTATGTCCGAAACGACCGGCTTAGATCTTAGAAAATACAATTGGGCGTCTATTATTCGCCATTGATTGTAGCGATCCGGATCGCTCGCGACCTGTTTGAATCGATGTTTATACCATTTATCCGTGCTCTCGGGATCGGGATCTTCTCCTATCGCGTCCGCGGCCGCAACTACCGTTTCATCGCTCTCGACTTCCCCCTCGTAGCTTCTCGATAAAGCGTCTGGTACGTGGTGTAAGGCCCCCTTTCTATGAATAATTTCGTAGTCGTATTCCAATAACTCGAGGGCCCACCTGGCTAATCTGCCCGTGGGATTCCTCAAGTTATGGAGCCACCTCAAACTACTATGATCTGTTATTACGGTGAATTTATATCCCTCCAAATAGGGGCGGAATTTCTTAATGGACCACACCACGGCCAGACACTCCTGCTCGGTAACGGTGTATTTTTTCTCGGGGTCCGTCAGAGCGCGACTCGCGAACGCGATCACTCTCTCCCCCCCTCAAAATTTTGCGTCAGCACGGAACCCAAACCTACCGAACTCGCGTCGGTTTGGAGTACGAAGGGTCTCTCAAAATCCGGGCATGCTAATACAGGTGCCGTGGTTAAATGCTCTTTTACGATTTGTACCGCGCGCGATTGCTCTTCCCCCCACTCCCATCGCTTGTTCTTCTTTAGCAGTCTAGTGAGGGGCTCGGTAACGGTAGCTAAGCGCGGTATGAATCGTCTATACCACGAGGCCATGCCTAAAAACCGTCGTAGCTGTTTAATATTTCTCGGTATCGGAAACTCTATCACTGGTTGAGTCTTATCCGGGTCGACTGTAAGCCCTTCATTCTGTACGATAAATCCGAGATACTTTACTTGTGCTTGACAAAATTCGCATTTTTCCGGGTTTATCGTTAACCCGGCGGAC